TATAAACACACTGTTTCTTGAAATCCATTTCAAAAAGCAGAAAGTTATGTAATTATTTGGTTTATAAAGGAGTTCTGAAAGCCCCCTGGTCCAACCCCCACACAAAGAAACAATTTGACAGTTGTCCTTCAAAAAGCTGTGGAAAAAGATAGTTGATTAATTTGTGAAATTAATCAACCCATTGTATTTTATCCCAGCTACACAAAAGTTGGGAAGGAATCTAAAAAATTCTATAACTCTACCTCTTGACAGTGCATTGGCAGAAAGGCAGTGGTGGAATCAAGCCAGTCTACCCAAAGGGACACACTCCCTTCAATGGGACTTTCTGTACCATGAAACTCATTCAGAAGAATTGGCCCTTCAGCTGGCAAAATAGGCGAGCTGAAAGACAGCTTTCTAAAAACTAATCTCAAAATACTATGTTCAATATACTTCCCTCCATACAGGCAAATGAAAAATAAATTTTATAAAATACTAGAAATTTATAAAATTATTTTGAAAAGTTAAGTTTAAATAACACCTCTTTAAAATTGGCAATACTCCCCTTACTCTTTTATTATAATGCTTCTATACCTTCAAGCCTCTTATCATAATCTTGACATACATTTAGGACCCAAGAGCTAACACAATAATTCCAGTCAAGAACATAAGATTATGATGTAAAAGAGCTTCACACAAGTTTCTAAAAAATGAACAAAAAATCAGTCTTTGGTGTAGATCTTTCCTCCTAATATCAGTCAGAAAAATGAGATTCATAACATGGTAACCCAGCTATTGAAGGTTTCTTCACAATCTTTAAAAATAAAATGGAGACCTCCAGAGAAATGTTTAATTGACCTAGGGTCTGAATTGCTCTTTGTCTCTCCACAGACATGGCATTTCTGCCACCTATTTAACTGAGACACCTAAGAATGGAGAATTAGGTCATATCAAGTAATAAAGATCTATGTCTTTCCCTGATTTTTTGTCTTTTGACTCGAAACTCATAGAATTATATAATGGTTTGGGTTGGAAGGAACCATCTAGTTACAACCCCCCATCATTGTCAGGGACACCTGCCACTAGACCAGGTTCCTCAGAGTTCCACCCAACCTGGCCTTGAACACCTTCAGGGATGGGGCATTCCCAGCTTCTCTGGACAACCTGCTCCAGTGCCTCACCACCCTCACAGTAAAGAATTTCTTCCTAATATCTAATTTAAACCTACTCTCTTACCATTAACCCTTGTCCTACCCCTATATACCTTTGTGAAAAGTCCCTCTTCCAGCTCTCTTGTAGGATCCCTTTAGGCATTGGAAGGGAGCTCCAAGTTGTTACTTTTACAAGACAAGTAAAATCTTAATTCTGATAATGTAACAGGCATTAACACAAAGATTTCTCCAAAAGACATAAGAAAACTTTTATTAGTTTAAAATGTCCTCTAGGAGAGTACATACTTCCTTCACAACTTCAGAAATGTTTCCTCATTTTCCAAACATTTCAGGTTCACTAGAATTTAATGTATCTTTCTGTTAGTGTACAAAGCTCAGTGCAGTACTTCTCCAACAGCCTCCAGGATCATGCCTGCGCCATGATGGTAACCCTGTGAGAGTGACTATCACCACTTCAGCTGCAGACCATCCCAGAATGCAAATGCAGAATCATATTTACCCATCGTATTTACCCACCCCCCTATGCCCCTACGAAGCTTGTCTGTATAAACCTGTTTCAACTGCAACCAACAGTGCAAATTTCCTAATTATCTATGTAGCTAAATTATTGGAGAGATTAAAAAAAAAAGTCTTCCATAGCACCTTTCTTGTTCTGCCTGAGTTATCCTGGATAAAGCAGTCAGTATACCTGCAGAAGCTGAAAGGAGGAAATAACACAGTGGTAAGCCAGTGCAAAGAACTTACTGTTTAGAATCATTATATATGTAAGGAATCAATGAGCCTGTCATGCACCCCAAGCTTCCCCTACACATCTAGCTTTTTTTATTAGATATTGTATTCCAAGTGCATCCCAGACACTGACTGAAAAACCCTGGTTTGATCTTTAGTGGGGAGGAGTCAAGCCAGCTGGACTGATTTACATCAGGTAAAAAATGTTTCTTCCATTTTAAGTAATCTGGGATGTATTCAAGGCATTGCAATGGTACTGTGGTATGTATGCTTTACCACTGAGTACTTTCATTAATAACTACTAGAAAAATTTCATAAGATATAAATTATTACTAACCTCGGGCTACAGTAATTCATGAATTCCAAAGCTTTTTAATTTAATATGCATATTTTATGTGTTTGAGGATGAAAAGCGCCCTTTTTAGACTGAGTCTGTTTTGATTTACACTGTTAGCACCATGACTGAAAAATGTTATTTCACTCACAGAGGGAGGGAGATCATCACTGCATAATGTAAATATTGTATATATTGATGTACAGAAAATAGATTGTTTCTTTTCACATATCATGAATGCCGCTCAGTGAACAATTTTGGAGATTTGAGATAAAAGAGGAAAATTACTAATTGAAAAAAAATGTAAGAAGCCATGGTTATGGCAGTTTGAGATAAAATGTTTATACAAAATGACTGACTAAGTGCAAGGGGTACATAAATGCCTTCATAATTTGACTGTATGCTACTTCTAAAATATGCCTAAAAATAATGCCTTCAAATCAAACCATGGTTGTATATGATACTGATGTGGAAAATGCCCCATTTACACCAGATAAATTCATCAGTGGTCATTCAGACCACCACAAAATGATTTGGCTATAATAGAGCTTTCTGCCATGAGAAAAATTCTACTCCAAGCCAAGTTCTTTAAACCAAAGACCTGAAAAAGATTAGGAGTTTTTGTCAAGACAGGATGTAAATTGATATTTCATTTGTATGTGTCAGTTTAAAACAAAAATTTTGCAAAATTTTTACTCCATATTTCCTTCTCTATAAAATAACATTTGGTGATGCAGGCTTCCTATCAATTTCTATTGATAGGTAAGAACTAAATGTAGTTTGGGGATCTTTTCTGATGGACGGGTTCATACTGCCTCACACCAGGCAGAGGCCAGGGAACAAACTGCAGATGCCAACCTACAATGCTCAGCAGGTTTAGCTTCAGTCAAAAGTCAAAATTATCCAGCTATGAAGTCAAATGAAACAGAGATTGTGAGCAGGTCTTGTAACTGCCAGTTCAGAACACAAGTGAAAGGATGGTATCTATGGACTGCAGTGCTGGGAGGCACACATTGTTTAGTCCTCAACCACTGCAATAACAACAGGAACTTTTACTAAAAGTTGGGGAAGACCACTTGGGACAGTCACATTTTGACTGTCAAGAGCAGCAACAAGAGTGAGCAGCATCAACAGGAACCATCCAGGTACAGAATTTATTCCAGCATTTCTCCAGTCAGCTACATTGGTCAGATAGCAAGTAGCCAAATGAGAAAATCTTCCTCTTCATGGTCCATTTGCCAGGAGGAAAAAAGTGTGTTTCTTTTTACTGTTGTCAGAGAGACAATCGCAGCAGGTTCAAGTATGCTCTTGGTTGATCAGGCAGAAATGACCAACCTTGCACCTTGAACTGTCAGCAATTCTTATCTGAAAGGCACATATGTAAGTGACCACTTTCAGCATAATAATGCTTTACAAGGAGGCGGGATTCTCCTAAGGGTAGGATTGTCCTAAGTATCTGTAACTCTGCCGTTCTCACTGTCAGATGGACATTGTGTTAGCCCATAGGTAGCTACACAAGCTCCTGGATAGTCTTACCATGTGAATCTGAATGTTACAACAGAAAGGCAGCAGAAACTAGAGGTGAAATTAGATCTTTCTGCTGAGAGACAACACAGCACAGATTTACTAGATAATACTGTTCCTTTTGTTAAGTCTTTATTCACACATATTTTTTCTCTTCAACTACATTTCCTTTCCTTAGTTCTATTAAGATTTCCTTGAGGAAAATACACCAGCTTTAAAAATATTTGTATGTGAATACCAGAGATAAAACATAGAAAACTATGTCTTAAACATGTATTTGTATATGCACAGAAACACTGTGACCATCTCTGGTCAGTGAAGAAGAGAAAATGAGAGACATGGTCTTTGTTCATTAGCATGCAGTACAGCCATAGGATGGCTTGGGAATTTAGGGTGGAAGCACTAACAGAAACATTTTCATGGTTAAAAGTTCAATAGAAGAAATGTGTGCTTATAGGGCAGACAGTCTTTGCCAACCCAAAGGTCTGAATCACAGATATCAAGATCTCTTACTTGTTGTTTTCAAAGACTTTTAGTTTGATTAATAAATTAGAGCACACCTAGAGGTCTCTGGCAGTCATGAGCCTCCAGAGCTGTAGGTATAAACTGCTCCCTTTTGAGGTAAACAGGTAAGAACTAGTTATACAAGTTATATCTACACTTGAAAATGAAGCACAACTGGGATCATTCCTTGGCCTGGGACAGTGCATGGTCTGACCCAGTTATCATCACTGAATTTACAACCTCTAAAGCCAGATCATTCCTTGGTCACAAATTATCATAGCTGAGCAGTTACAATTTGAATTTCCCCTTCAATGCAAATTGCCAAATAGGAACAGTTCTGCATCTGTGCTGTTTCTCCCACTACATGCAGGAGCAGGTACTGGTTGGCATGGTCTGAAATCATGGTCAGTGACTCCTCTACTATGATTAAACTCAACTGCCCAAGTACATTCCCTTACACTATTGAAGCTACTGGTTCAGATATAATCAAAGAGAGGGACATATATCACTTGATCAGTGATTGCAGTGATCTCATTTCCCACTAGGCCAAGCTGAAATATTTCCTTTCCTCAGCCTTCTGCACTGACTTCTTCCCTACTGTTATGACCCAGTTATTAAAATTGTTAGAAATGCCTCTACCTGAATGAAGGTGCAAATGAGACCAAATGCCAAAGTCAATAATATGGGTTATATTTAATGGTAAAGCAAGACAGACCAAAGGAGATAGAAAGAATTAGAGAAAAGGAAGGGTGGGGGGATAGAAGAAAGAAAGTGATAGAGAGAGTAAAATAGAAAAGTACCACCACTCCGTGTAACCCGGCAGCATCCCGACAGTCCAGTTCTTCTGATCTTTTTGGTGGTTAGGGTTTCCCAAAAAACATAGAGTAATAGATTAATATACGTTCAGGAGATGCCTGGCAACACCCCTTGGCAGGGTGGGTGGTGGTGGAAACTTTGCAGTCTCTTGCAGCAGATTTGTTGCTTCACTCAGATTATGTGCAGTCTTCTGGTGGTGGAAGGCCTCAGGAATGAATTAGGGGGACGCTTCGGGAGTCTTTGGTGGTTTGTGACCCCTTCTCAGCTGCCTCTCATGTGAATGTCCTGTGTGCACATGGTCTTCTTGGGGGATGGGGGGGTGGGTAGAGAGTTACTCCTTTGGTTTGGTGTGGAGAGATTTCACCATCACACACCCGAAACCCTTCTCCTCCACCACCTCCTGAGCCCAGCTAGGGCTGGTTCTTAACACAGATACATTCTTCATTCCTGAGCCTTGTTTACTCCTCCTCAGACCTGAGATGATTAGACAATAGTCTTATCTCAAGTCCCCAGTCACAGTCTAAATTCCACTCGAGAGGCACTGGGAGGAGGGGGGTGCTTCGATGGTCACAGACAGACTGTGCTTCCTTGCAGTTTGACAAAAAGTCTTTCTATGATTTTGACAATGTTGAAGACACTACTGACATTTCAGTCCATCACACCTGCCCACTTCTAGAATGTGCGAGGGAGGTTACCAAGACACCACAGATCTCATGTACAAGAAATTTCCGTGCAGCATCTTCTCTGTTTTTTGTGTCCTGACCTTCTAATCCCCTTTTTTCCTCTCCACCTCCCATTGGTAGAAAACGAACCCACAAGAACAGCCAAAAGACAGTCTGCTACAGCAACGTCATCTTCAGCCAGAGCTGCACAACACCAACACACAGCACTGAGCAATCTAGGCAGGCAATCTAGAGATGGGAATAGGAGTACAGGCTGAGCAAGGTAATCTGGGAATCCCAGAGACATACCTTTTGTGTGGGCTGAGCTCCCACTTCTTCCAGTTCTCTCTCAGCACCCAAGAAGATCTCTGTATAATGACAAAAAAATTTCCATTCTTCAGTCATCATATGTAACAAGGATTTTATTTTTCCTCTGTGCGAGGCTGTATTTTCATAACATATTTTTACCATGATTTATTACTTCTGTGAAAGCAATAAAAGTATCTTTCCTTACAGAAGGAAATATGCATGCATTTCTTGTAAAGTGGGCTTTTGTTTATGGCTACTGTTTTCAAGCTCTCTAGTCACAAATACACTATTTTGGTAATTTCTTTTCCTCTGCATAACTATGGATTATAATAGCTTTAGTTATCACATACAGACATCAGAAAGAAAAAGCAAAAAGGAGTATTATCTGTCAAGTCTTGACAAAATAAAATTATTGACTGCAAAAGAACTTCCAATAATTTCATTCTTTATCTCAATAATGCCAAATGTATCATGGCAATGTTCTACATCCTGCTTAAATAACAATGGATGATACAACCCATAAAATGGGAAAAGAAATATTACCAGTTAGATAACATTAATTCAGACATAAGCACGCATAAAAGTGTCCTAGTATTCTACAGTTTCTCAAGCCATTAGCTTTCTAATAAGGACTGTGCCTTTCTGTGTTTCTCACACAGCATAATGGCACACTGACAGTGATGGAGGCTTTCAGGCACTCCCAAAATGTAAATAAAATCATAATTAAAATGATGATGGTGATGCCTTTCGCTTTTTGAGTAAATAGCTAAAATGAGATCTATTCGTTACCTAACAAAGATAACAATATTTCACTTGATGTAACATTATATTTGATCAGTGCCCAGGATCTGGTTTTTTTCAGGTGGTAAAAAGAGAGTCTTTATTGCTTAAACAATATCAAATATCACAAATGCAGCATAAGCATAAATTACAAGAGGAAGGGAGGTTAGGATAGCTCCTTGAATTAATAAAAAAATTAAGGCATATACTTTCAAAGGTAGCTAGTGCCTCAGTATTCTTCAGAATTTTAGGATTAAACTGAAAGTCTTGTGACTCTGCTGTCAGCTGCAGTGACTACTTTTACTGAAATCACCAGGGTTTGTTCAGTACAGTTCAAAAGCCCTGGTTCAAATAATGCTCCTGCCAGACTATTTTAGTTCAAAGTAAGAGCTGGAAGGAGTAGGGCTAATGGGAATAAATAGTCTAATGAGAATCATAGAATGGTTTGGGTTGGAAGGAGCCTTTAAATGCCATAGTCCAACGCCCCTACAATGGGCAGCAACATCTTCAAACAAATCAGGTGGTTCAGAGCCTGATCTGGAATGTTTCCAGGGATGGGGCATCTAACACCTCTCTGGGCAACCTGTGCCAGTGTTTCATAACCCTCATATAAAAACTCCTTCTTCACATCCAATCTGAATCAGCTATCCTTCAATTTAAACTACTACCCCTTGTACTGTCAAAAAAGACTCTGTTTAAAAGTCTATCCCCATTTTTCTTACAGGTCCACTTTAGCTACTGGAAGGATGCTATAAGGTCTCCCCAGAGCCTCCTCTTCTGAATAACCCCTACTCTCTGCCTTTCCTCATAGAAGGGTCGTTCCAGCCCTGTGATCATCTTTGTGGCAGTACAAAGAGAGGACAATCACTACTAGTGTCAACAAGAACCTAGACAAGCTCACTGCAGGTTGAAGATCTACCCACAAAACAATTAGTGCAATGAGGCCATACTGCTTTATACCATAGCATTGTACAAAAGAAAAATACTTCTTGTAAGCACTACACCTTCCAAGCCCTGGGCTGCAGTGCAAGTGTGTCTCATAATCAACTGGCTTTTCAGTGGAAGTATACAAAATCTGAGGCAGAAACCTATTATACAACAAAGAACCTATGTCAAACACAAACTTTGATGGAGGAGTGAATTTGTTGATACATAACAAAAGAATAAAGTCCAACTGAAACTTTCCCAGCATGGGATTTGCAACATCTCTTTCTGTTGTCAAATAAATTTAAGATCCTGCTGCATTCTTTCTCTCAGTATTAGAGTCTCTCAGAGTTTTTCACTGTGAACACCAAAATTTATAGGAATTTAGTGTCTTTGAACCATACTATCCAGTTTGCTTGATATTAGCCACTGACTAAGGAGGCAGAGGTAGAGGAATAGCTGTGGAGGCAGTATAATATCATACACTTTGTTACCATAGAAAATGAAGCTAACAATCATAATTCTTATGAAGTTGCTTTTTTTGAGTGTAGATAATTGCATTTTCCTGGTTTATATATTTTCATCATTATTGCTTAATGCAAATCACTCTCTGTTTACCCAGCATGATTTATTGCCAGGATGTTTAAAAGGGAAGAGTAAAAGCTGAGTTGCTATGCAATGGATAAAATATATTTCAAATAATTTTAAGTATATTGATTTTTTCCTTTGAAATTGAAAAACATAATTTAGGAGGGCATGTCTATTAATTTGAATTTGGAAATAAGAAATATATCTCTTGATTTCCTACCCCTATAAACTAGATTATAACCATGAATTTTTGAGATGTATTGTTTTATGTGATGAATTCTTCACCAGCCATCTATTTAGGAAATCTTATGAAAGCCTCCTAACTAAGACTAACCTACAGATTTAATAGGGTAGTAAACTTTACAGGGCAAAACCATTAAAAAATTACAAGACAGTTATAATCTGGTATTACTTTTCTGTAACACAGTTAACCACATAGCATCTGTCTTGGCAGCCTAGTTAACAACCTCCATTCATTTCATCAAACATAATAAAATTAAACATGTGAAAACGAAAGTAATTAATTAAAAAGCTTATGCTTTATTTAAGCTGGAAGGGTTCTTAGTTTTCAGAATAGATTGATTTCCCACAAGTTCCCAGAATTGAAGGGAAAGAAAACAGTCATGTAAATTACCTAAAGGTGATTACTTCTGAGGGTAGATTAACATAAATTAAAAATAACAATATTAAGATAAAACATAAAGAGTTCCCTTTTCCCCAAATCATAAACATCTTTCAAAAGCAAATGGGGTGAAACCTACACTTAAACATATAACTACTCACAGTTAATAATGCTGGTCAAAGAGTTCAATGAAGATGTATCTACATCTAGCCAAATTAGCTAACAATAAGGTCAAACATGGAAAATTCTCTTCTGCATTCTTGCTAAGAGAATGATGTAAAAGAGCTTTAAGCAAAGGGGCTTTTTTGTTTATGCAAAGTAGTGAACAACACTAGATCAGGTATTAAACTAATTTAGCCAAATACTCTTTTTCTCAGCAGTGTTTCCTACTACTGCTTCTTTCACAACAGAAAGCTGTGTATTTATGATACTTCAACACTTACTTTCCCTATCTAATTTCAGTGCCAATAGCTCATGATCCTTGAAAGATATTTATAATTGATGACTCAGAAGTCTGAATTTACACTTATAGAGAGTGAGGCAACAGGATTTCAAACTCATTGATACTATTATATACATCCAGTGGAGTGCAGGTCAGGCAAAAAGTCATTTCTCAGATGTTCAATCGAAAATTGGCAGCTAATTGGTTACCCTTGCACTTTAAGATTTTCCAGAACAAAAAAATTGTTTCAAGATTCTGAGAGTTTTGGTGATTGTTGGGGTTTCATGTTTTTTTTCTTCAGCAGCATTTTGGTCAACCCTAATCTATATTTTTTGTTTTGCTTATGACTGAGTTAGATATCTTGTTATAAGTGTGCAGTGATATATCTGTCCCTAATCTCGAACTGACAGGGTTGTCAGTCACCAAGTACTCTGTGTTTGATCTGAGTTACAACAAAATACACATCCCTGAGCAAGACCTCTTGTATGTTCCTCTTTACTGATTTTACCATTCTTCAGATTATTTGATCATTTATCGAAGTCAGGGTAATAAATGAAAATATATCTGATTTCTCTATTTTTTTCTGTATACAGTAGATTCTTTTTAATTTAACTAGGTAATTTGGGACTTATATGCTTATTTTCTCCCTTCACTAATTTAACCTTAGAATGTGACCTTCTTGATGTCTCTGAGGCTTACATCCATTTATCACTTGTACTGTGAAGAAAGTTCCAGCTTTCTATCCCTGCCTTTTGTTAATAGTCTCCAAGTTCATATGAAATTGCTGTCCAACATGTCAATGGCAAACTGTCAAATGAGAAACTCTCTCACTGATTTTTGTGAGAATAAAGAAGACAATTACCTCTAATCTAGTCTGTCAAGTTTCTGCTTCAGAATATCTCTGGCCCCTTAGGATTTATAGTTTTCTATTAACGCTTTCAATCAACCAGGCACATATCTTTCATTCCTAGTCTCTACAATGCATTGGACTTTAAAAAGGACACTGCAGGTTCAGTTCTAACTCATTCTTAACTTCAATAATAACCACATGCCAGCATCTCAAATACAATTAATATAATGGAGGAAGATGAGGCTATATTAATAACCTTTGTCTTAACTTCAGACCAAAGATCCAGATTAAAAAGTGTAAACATTAAGAAATCATAGCAGTAAGGACCCTCAGAAGCACTTACATTCGTCAAGTACAAAAAGAATTTTCGCTAATATTTACTTCTAAAGAATGACCTATAGTTGCAACACTGAAATAGAGAACACAGGTAGTTCTGGGAATGAAGAACGCTCACTACAGTTGAGGTCACTATCTTTCTCTACTTGAGTACATGCATGAGGAATAATTTCCTATGATATTGGATACAAAATAAAATGCAAAGTAAGTACCTATTTTTACTGATTTGATCTTTGACTTAAGTTATGATGATAGGGCAGAGGTTTCTGGTCCTAAACTAAATTTATTTTACAAGAAGAATCCAGAGAAAGTAATGAGTTTGACACCTATTCGCTTCAAAGTTAATGCTGGAGTTAGACTTAGACACACTGTGACTGAAAATACAAATTTGTGAAGTCTAATGAGATAAAATGTAAAATGCCCTGTAATTAGCAAGATTAACAAGATTCAGGACATCACACAGACAAGTCAATTTAATTCTATTCTTAGAAATACTCTTTCATCTTCCTGCCAACTG